GGAAAGCTATCAGATAAGTAAAATACAAAATGTGAAATGCGGTATCAATGTTTGATGAGGAAGGTGGGAGAATAAGGAAGATTTCAGTAGCTATTAAAATCTAAAGCCTAGACTGTCAGGCACACTAAATAATACCTCCCACCAGTGATAGCTCCTCTAACTTGGATTGGAAAAAACTGTGCCTTACCCTCATCCACATTACAACATACAGAATCTTAATATCACCCAAACAAAACGAGATTTGTCTTGTGCCTCTCAGAAATTTTTAGTGGTAAAGAAAATAATACAAAATATTTTAATTGGTTTAGGTATTTTAGAAGGAATTAATGGGCTTAATAAATTGGAGCGATACCAGGTGGACAAGTAGGAGCAAAAAATTTACATTTAATGCCATGTATAAGACAAAGAGGGTTTAATTATTGTTTTAATTTATAGAATAAGAGCAAGTGACTTAAAGCCAAACATATTTCTGTCAGAACAAGGGATAGATCACAAAATGCAAATGCTGTGGAACCTCCATCCCAGAGTCTGGCGCTGGCAGGTGAGATTTTGGTCTAACAAAACCTTTAGAGCAAAGAATACTTATCTGGGGAAAACACCAGTGATATAAAAAGCCAAATGAGGATCAATACAATTAATAGTTCACGTTCCTCAAAGCTATTTCCAGGCTACATATAAGAAGCGGATTAATAGACAGGCCTAGATTGTTTCAGTAAGCAATTTGGAGGGGACAGTGTCACTGATTTAAAAGAAACTCCAGTCCTGGTGGAATCTGGTAAACTTTACCTATGACCCTGTCATAAACACAGCTACAGCATTTGTGCTTACCATATACAATGCCATTTTACATTCAGTTTTTCCCATCATTGCGTAACGGAACTATAGCCTTTTGAGCATAGAGTATGGGCCCTAAAGGTGGATGAAAAATGGCAAACTGTCAATTTGGAATCTTGCATTGTGTGAGAACATTTATCTGTGAAGGCAATGCGATTAAAACTCAAAATATTTTGTTCAGTATCTAAGCAAGTATCTTGAGCTTTAATCGTATAGCCCCAGTCACGTCTCACCAGCTTTTGCAATCTAATTACACAATGATTTATGAACTGCTGCCTGCACCCATTGGGATGAATCTCACTTTGGTAAAACAATTACTACAACACAAGGATTTGATTGAGATTTTGAAAAAAAAAAATAGGGAAAATGGGCAGAAAACCTTAAAAACTGTTCATCATAATGTGAAAGAAATACACCAAGTTTTGGAAAGAGTGCAAAAGAATGCAGAATATAAATGGTGGTGAAACGAAGAAATCAACAGTCAGAATCCAATATAATTGTTAAGCCGGTATTCTTTAGTAGCAGCACTGGGGTTGTCCTGGGGATTCTCCACCATAAGGGCTCCCAAGAACTAGCAAGGAACGTCAGTTTACATACACACAAATCATACATATTCATTAGATTACCTGGAAAGGGCTGTCTTATGACAATGAGTTCCCAGAATTCGTTTACATAGTCTGAGCATGCCTAGTGAAAATAGGGTGAGAGTCTTTGGTGGTCAAGAGGAGAAGTAAGTGATCTTCTTCACGGTGTCTGCTCTTTCCAGACCATGCGCTCTGAAGTAGAGTCCAGATGTCTTCTTCCTAAATCGGCAAGATCATCCTCCCTAGATAGGATCTCTGTGTCCTTTTGTTTGAGTTCCCCTTATCTTAGTTTGCCCAAGTGCCCAGTGAAGGCTTTGAATCCATTATCAGTGAGTTATACAGGGAGCATTCTACTTTTGTCTAGACAGACAAAGAGGCCAAGGGAAAACAGTCGAGACCTTGTGAAACAAACACAAGCAAAATTTTCATGGATCACAGTTTAGTCTTAATCAGAAATTCATTGGTTTGAGCCCTTCAGTGGAACACATTTTTCAGATGGTCGCCTACTACTGCAGGCATCCTTAACAAGTTGTATCACCCCATCGTGGTTCTCTTGATATTAGTTTTGATCAATTTGGTTTTGTCAGCAGTATTGTATATCATAACCTAGAGCATGATGAATCAGTTAACACATTTGATGTCTGTATTGAACTTATATAATATGCTTGACGTCCCATCCTACGTGGATATTCCCAAATCAATTGATGTTTTAAAAACCTTTTTTTATTTTTTTTTTTAATATAAGCAGCTTTGATTGTATTTGTTTCAACAATTTAACTTTTGTAAATTGTGTGTTCACTGTTGTTTCCTTTCTTTCTTCTCTTCCTCTCCCCCTCTCTCTCTCTCTTTCTTTTCCGTTTCTTCTTCTTCATTATTATGCTACCACCATGCAGTCCTGACACCCTGATGTCCTGATGACCATGTTGAGCCACGGGGTGGTGTAAGAGTCAGCCAGAAGATCAGCATTGTCTCAACATTGTCATCAGGGACATGGACAGTAAGGTACCTGACAACAGCCTGTTTGGAACACAGTTGCGGATCCCAAGAGGAATGTGGTGCAAGGGCTCCTGAATACAGAACTGTGTGGCACAACGAGTGCTGTGCTGTTCTCCTGACTACCGACCATATGGTGCAGGGCTTGCAGTGCTGTTCTTCAGTGCCTGAGCCATGTGGTACAGAGTGCTGTGCTATTGCTCGGTACCTGAGCCTAACCAGAGCCATTAAAGATGACCGTATAGCTACTCTCAAAAAAGATGGGTTGCAACTGTTGCCATAACATCAATGAAGAAATCACAACTACTGTGCTGAAGTAGCAGTTATTTTTCAGGTGTTGTATTATTGGTGAAGTTAGAAGCATCCCTTGGTGTTTGGTGTCTTACGGGTGGTACCTAAGCCTCCACAGGAGAACCCGTGACCAGCAGAGGTGGGGTGGGTGAGAACACAAGGTAAAGGAGTGGGAGGGGGTTATTGGTGTGGGCAGGATTTAGTTTTGGGCAGTATCCCACCAAGTGCTACTGTGGTTGTTGCAGGAGACACACGTAGCCTTAGAAGGATGAAGTCACATGCTTGATGAGGGGTCCAAGAAGGTGAGACAGTGTCGGCAGGGTCTGTGTTTAAGAGAAAAGTATCCCATGGCATCTAAGCGAAGTGTTTCTCTTTGGTTTTGTGGGTGCTGTGCAGGCAGCCTTTGGAGTTGGATGAGTGTTTGAGGTGAGCTGGGGAGGTAGCAAGGAGGAGCAGGGTCAGGTGACTTGTCAGAAGGGCAACAGCGATTTTGTATCTCTTGGTTTCTTAGGTACCAGCAAGTGATAACAGCCGCAGTGTCTGACTGTGGAATGAGGAGGTGAGCGGCGCTTCTGAAGGGGGTGTCATGGAAGAGGTTGGCGTTGGCTGACATGAAGCTGGCCGCTTGTGCTGTTTGTGGATGTTTTGCAGATGATGCAGAGGAACCTGGTGACTCAGAAACATCCCGGATAGCCAATATGGTTGTTGTGGAAGATGGATTCAGAGCCCCCAGATCTCTAAAAGCTAAGTTGAAAGAGCAGGGCTGGGAAGGGTCTGGGAGGAAGGGACAGGGTTGGGAATTTCAGGAAGGACTTTTCAAGGTAGTGTAGGGGAGAGGACTGTCCTGGAGCAGTGCCCTTTGTGGCCATAAAGGGAGTGAGTTACTTTAGAGCACTGACTACCATGTGGCAGGCAGGGCAGTTCCAGCCTGTGTCTGTGTCATTGTGTAGTTTGTGTCTTCTGTCTTCTGTATCTTATACTATGCTGTCCTCAGGTCTTGATGTCTCCATAGCTCTTTGTGATCATCAGGACACCTCAGTAGTCCTCCCAAGGGTCTTGAGTACATTGTCTCATTGGCATGGTGCCTGTTAAGCCCTTCTCTTGCAATTATAACCTGAAGCATGGATCCATCTGGTGCATGTTGCATCAAGGATGTTCTTGAGCAGTCATCTCTTGCAGGGCTGAGCTAGGTGACACCTGCAGCTCTGCTGTTGAGACTTGTTTTGGCATGTGGTTATCTCCTGCGGTTTAATCCCCATGTCTTAGGTCTTAAAGCCCGGCTTCTCATGGATCAATCGTTCTGGTTTCAATGGTAACATTGTCTCACCGTCTGCAGCGGTTGTCTCTCATTTCGGGGCCGCTCCGATGCCATTGTGCCACTGTGGTGCCGTAAGGCTTCTCTGCTGGCAGCATCTTCCCTACAGTCGTTGTTCTTCTCACTCGTGGTCTTCTCTTGTTTTACGGTCACATCACTTGTGGTGTCTGTCTGTGGTTCTGTGTCAGGGTTGGACTTGTCCTGCCCAGAGGTGTAGCCATAGTAAAGACAATGGGAGCATAGTTTTGTAGTTGTGTAATAATACATTGATCTGCACAGAAGCTTTTGGCAAAGACTATACAGTCCATCTCCAGGCAAGTACCTGTAGACAGCTGCCACAGAGTTATTTTCCTTCTGTTTGGCAGATGCTGGAGGCTGGACTCTGGCTTGCTAGGAGTGGCAGTTTGTGTGGTAGTTGAGTGAGTTGAACCTTGAATGAGTCTTATGTTGTATATGGGGCTCAACATTTAGGGTTTTGGGCATTTTAGCAGTAGGGAGATGGAAGGGAGATGGAAATGGAAGACAAACCTTCAGTCTCGTAAAACTCTAGGTTAACAAAGAGGTGACTTGCCTTACGTGGTTTGGGTTGTTAAGATGCAAAGTGAGAAGCTGCTTCCCAAAGGATGACAGAAGATGTCGGAGGGTCTGTGTGACTAGTGGTTCTGATAGGCTTATGCTCTTTTGGTTTTATTTTCTAGGTGTGAATTGATGTGTGAAGTGGGATATCTACAGCCTTGGACTATGGCAAGGTGAGTGCTGACCGGTGAGCTGAAGCAGCAGGTTTTTGAGGTGTCATAATATTGCTTTGAGTTCTACAGGTGGCGACCGAGCCTCGGCACAGCAGATGGAAGAATCCAGCTCTGAGCAACTGAGGTAAATGAGCAGGGAGAGGAGGCACTATGAACAAGCTGAGAATCAGGGTGGCATCTCACCCCAAGTTTTTTCCTCTGTGGGTTTGTTGGTTTTTTTTTTTGCAAGTGCCGCACTCCTTCCATGAGGGTTGATGCTACACATCCACAAGCAGTTTGAGAAAAGGTGAGAGTCATTAAGCAGTCTGCTCGAACCTGAATTGTTGAGGATCATGTGGAAATTCAAGCAACCACTTCTCTTTGCTTTTGCAGGCATTGTGAGGTCTCTGCTCAAACAGCAGAGGATTTGAGGTGAACCAGTGGAAGAGAGGAGCGGCAGGCTGGGAGCTGCCAAGTAAGCGATCATTTCTGAGTAGTATGGTTTCTGTATTTCTCCAGTTTTTTGGCTTCCATGGGAGATGGGGGGACACAACATATGGTTACCAGGAATCGTGCAGATCATCTGAGCAGGGTGTCACTGTGGTAGAGGTTGGTATGGGTTGGCATGTCAATGACTGGCAGCATTCTGTTTTGCAGGTGATTAAGAGAAACCTGGTGAATGCAGTAAAACCCCAGTTGGATGATGTGCTCCTGATGAGGATGAATTCTAGACTGTGCTCTCTGAAAAATAAGTCAAGGGACCAAAAGCAGTGGGTGGGGTGGGGCCAGCAGAGGGGGTTGAAGTGCTAAGGCTTGGACAACAGGCCCAAGCCGGAGTTGACCTATAGATGAATCCTGTATATTTTAAAAGTGATAACCACTGTGATAGTAGGTATTGTACTAAGTTATAACAACCCACTTATGCTGATGTAAAAAGTGCTAAAGCATTGAAATACTGAAGCCTGAACAACAGGCCCCAAGCCGAAGCTGCTAACTTGTTATGTAATCATTAACAAAGTATGTAAGCTCACTAGTGAGAGATGCAGCTTAGAATATAATCAGTAGTGAGGACAAAACGCTGAGAGAATGTACCCAACTTCCCTTGTTTAGCCTTGTTCAAGGCTGAGAACCCACGTATTTGGCCTTGTTAGAAACTCCCTTGGTTTCCCCCCCTGAGCCCTGGCCAGGCTTTGGGTGGAATCCATCAGCAGAATGAAACCAGAAATTTTCCACTCAAAACAAAGGTGTCAGCTGTTCTGGCTTGCTGATTTTGGGGTATATAAGGCTGGGCCCGCTCACAGAGACTTTGGCAGCCTCACCTACGGGTGGAGGCACCGCGCAGGATTTCCCCCTTGCCGGGACAGGCTCTGCAAACCCTCGCTGTAACCGGGGCTGCCCAGCCACTGCGGGGCTGGATGATAACATATGCAAGTGGTGATGTATCTTTCTTAATCACTATTCTCTCTCTCATGTAGTAATGATTTGAT